GAGGCCCAGTCTCGGTGACGGGATGTTGTGCCATACATGAATGAATGAACAGACTCAATTAAAGGAATTACTTACCATACGTTTTTCCAATCCTTCGAATTAGTTAAATTGTAGCATTCTCTCTCGTCACTGTTAATTTCCTTATAAAACTTTATATTTTAATTATTTATTTAATTATAAAGAATTATTTTTAGTCAAGACAATAATTTCACGGCAAAAATGCGTTTTATAACCGCTGATCCATAAGATAGCACATAGGCGGGGAACCTTTTTACTATTGTGGGTATTTGTATAAGCTTAGCTACTAATCTCAATTTTCATATTGTCGTAATCTAAGTAAATATTAATTGCCTTTATTATTACATTCTGAATTATAATATTTTTATGAAAGCTGCAAATATCGGAGAAGATGCGTTCTTTGGCTGTGATATAGCATATTTAGATCGTGTTTTGTTTGGAAGCAATGGTTACCTCTCGGTCATATTTGGGAGCGCTCAATGCCTGTAGTTGGTTTCTAGTCGCATCTGACCAGTCCTTATGTCTCAATTAGTAAATAATAAAATTCTTACATACGAGTAGTTTATACTGAACCATAATTCGTTACAATAAGAAACTGTTAATTATTTTAAAATTAATGGGACTTAAGAGGAAGCAAAATTGAATATTCGGCGGTACTTAAAGCTCTATTAGATTTGACTACAATATATAATACAACGAGTTTAATCGAAATCATCATAAACGTTTTTAATACAACTGTTTAAATGTGTAAAATCGATAATATAAAGTGATTTTTTCAGTTAAATGAGTTTGACGAAAAAGTTTCAGACATTTGCTACCCTTAAAAATACCTAAGTAAGTAACTTCACTTTCGGTGACGTTTTGTTTTTGACCTAGGTTGTTTACATAAATATAGACAAACATACACACAGACCATTTTGCGTGACTTTAGTTATTTGGACATAGAGCATCCATTTCGGTAGAAAACTCATATTCAAATTTGTTCGCAATCACAATATTTGCCATTCTCAATACTTCAAATGTAAGTGAAAGTAAAGGATCTACATAAAAATTCTTGATTCCACATAGAAACAGCACAAAAATTTAGTTTTATTATCACTGGCACGGAATTTTTCCCCAACTCTCAATTTATAAATAAAGGAAAATCGTGTTTATTTTTTTTTTTAAATAAGCCCTCTCTCCATGGCCGGGAAAACCTGCCATATAACCTAAACGGTGAGTTAGAGAAAGAAGAAAAAAAAAAAAGAAAAAAAAATATATATATACTGACAGGCAAAAAATTCCACCCACTTGATTTTTTCATCTAAAAATATTTCTGCTTTATATTGGTGTATTGTTTTTAATGAATAAATAGGTAATCTTTTCGTTTGTTTTCAATTAGGAATGTTAATATAGAGGACAATTGTCCTTAATCCTTAATTCAATGAAATGATTCTAGATTCTAATGTTTATACTTTCTATGGAATCAAAATGTTTATTCAGTATCATTAGTTCTGTGCCGTTTCTTGCAGCACATTTCTTAGTCTCCGGCTTTTAATTTTTTCAATATTAAGTTTAAAAATGCCTCTTAGTGCTGAGGATGTTGCGCGTGGTGTGACACTTATTGATGATGGACGTTCCATTAGATATGCAGCTAATGTCATCGGAATTCCATATGAAACTTTACGAGACGCCGTCAGGCGTTTTCGGGAAACTGGTTCTTACAATAGAAGGCTTAGGGTAACAGAACCACGGGATGACCTGTTTTTGACTTTGAGAATTTTACGAAACCGGCACCTTACCGTTGTTCAAGCGATTCATGAGCTCGAAGAAGTTCGAGGTGTGCAAATTTCTGAACGCACCGCTCGGAGAAAATTAAATGAGTATGGAATAATGACTTTTCGTCCAGGAAGAGGACCAGAGTTGACCAGAACTCGCAAAGTAAAACGGCTGGCTTTTGTTCGAGAACACTGCCATTGGACTATTTACGAATGGAGTGCTGTAACTTTTACAGATGGGTCAAGATTCGCTCTTCAATCTCCAGACGTGCGTGAAAGGGTGTGGAGAAGAAGAAACGAAAGATATGCAGCCTGTAATTTTTCCCAGAGCTAGCCTTTCCAACGTGGTTTCTTAATGGAGTGGGCTGGAATTTCAATGGAGCGCCGCATTGAATTGGTTGTTGTTCGTGGAGGGTCTTTGATGGCCATTCGCTATGTACATGAGATTTTGGAACCTCATGTGTTGCCTATCCTCAACGAAATCGGCGATCGTTCTATTCTAATGCACGCCCACATGTCGCCCGCATAGTGTAGACGTTCCTTCAACAGAACAATATTGAAGTTTTAGCCTGGCCAGCACGTTCTCCAGATTTGAATCCCATTGATCATTTATGGGATAACCTTGGAAGACAAATAACAGCGCGTGCAACACTTCCTGATACACTGCTGGACCTTGAAAGGGCTCTTCGGGAGGAATGGGCTATCCTCCAGCAAAGGGACATTTCCCGACTGGTGGAAAGTATGCCGAGGCGTCTTCAAGAAGTAGTGAAGGCAAGAGGAGGAAACACGCGCTACTAAACGATAATGTAATTAATTTCTTTTAGAATAATAATGGTTCGTTTTTCAATTTTTTTTTCTCTAATCTTTCTTACCCAATCACATTTTGATTATTAAAGGTAAAAAAGATTATAAAATTCCTTAAATACTAAGTATTATCTACAAATACCATGTATTATATACAAATACAACTTTTTTTATAAGTGGGTGAAATATTTTTAGATTAAAATATGAAAAAATCAAGTGGGTGGAATTTTTTGCCTGTCCGTGTATATATATATATATATATATATATATATATATATATATATATATATATATATATATATATATTTATATATGTCCCAGGCCCATCATTGGAAGCCAACTATGCCTTCATGAAAATGGAGTGATGTGTTTTAAATGGAGTATAAATATATGTATTTTTTTTTCTTGTTCTTTCTCTAACTCGGCTTTTAGGTTATATGGCGGTTTTCCTCGGGCATGGAGAGAGGGCGAGGATTAAAGCCAGAGTTAAAAGCTCTCCCGGCACCGGGAAGCGAACTCGTAACTATTTCATTTCTAATAAACTTCATTTTATCAATCATCTGGATGTCGGACAACCCGCCGCCCAATGATGTGAGAAGTATCACTCTGGCAGCAGCTAAAGGTTTAGTCGTCAGCATTAAAATGTTCGTAAGAATGATTTGTGTCAACAAGGCCTTCCACAAGTACACCTGAGCAAGTCCCAAAGGAGTGAAAAATGAAATTGACCAAATACAAGATGTAAGAAACTATCGTTAAGTCGACTGTATTTCGGATCTCTAATCATGCGGACACCTATAATCATTAAGGCTATTAAAATAACATAAATCCTATTTATTATATCGACGGCAGACAAGGCAAACCTTGTAAATCCGCTTATATTTGTAAACCACATAACTCCAGTATCTGAGGTATAGGTACCTACAGAAATTAAAAATGATTGTGGATTACTTATCAATGATTGTGGATTTTACTACTATTAGTTATTGAACTTTTATTTTTCTCTTGTAAAGTTTACTTTTATTTATTTTTTTAAAATCTTATTTTATTGAGAACAAACACATTTTGCCTCAATCAAGGGCATTGAGTATTTGAGATGTGAATAACTCATTCATACAATATATAAAATTACAAAAATAATAGAAATTATAACACACATATGTCTATCATCAGACTACTATTTCCGAAAATTCATTTTCTACCTAAAAAAAAACATTTTTCTTTTTTCCTCCTTTAGTTAAGTATTATATTTTTTCGTGGTTTATATATAGACTTTTATTATCACTGGTAACAATGAAAGATAGTTTATAATTCAAATTGAACCAAATTAAAGGTGCTTTAGAGGAAAAAAAAATTGAAAATGCGTAAGCTCTGTTAAGCAACGTCAATGAGGATTAAACCTATCTGATATTAAAGACGATTCAATTATACATTATTAAAGCGAGTGTAATAAAAATCGTTAGATCTGTGTTTGAGAAAATTGTAAAAACGTGGACAATCGTAGATATAAAGGGCCACTTCCGGATAGTCGGTTTACAGGAATAAATTGCTATAACATCCTATCAGTCGTATACCTATGTATCTTAAATACGTAATATCAGTTTTTCACAACTTTTCGTTTTTAAGGCAGACTATGGGCGCACACTCGCTTGCACGAAAACACACACACACACACACAAACACACACCATTTTGTGAGACTTGGTTATTTGGAGTCAGGGAACCTCAAAACGTGTATTTCTGTTGAAAACTCAGATTCCGAAATTTGATCGCGATTTCCCTTATCATATTACAGGTAAGTGAAAGTAGGAGACAGGGTGGCCGAATGGGCTAACGTGTGTGCACAGCACCGCGAGTTGCCCGGTAACCAGATAAAAGATTTGAGAGATTAAACGGTACGAGTTTACCTCCCGGTGTCGGAGGGGATTTTAAATTCCCCGCCCTCACCCTCCGTTCCGGGAAAATCCCGTATAGCCTAAAAGCGAGGTAGGGAAGAACAGAAAAAAAAAGTAAGTGAAAGTAGAAATAGGCAGGTTTCCAAGTCCGCATAAGTACAATTATATTTACATGGAATAGCACTGATATAAGATTTGCTCAAAGACATAAATGGTTACTAAATATTCTTTGGACCTTGTTGTGAACAAAAATAAGTAAATATCTGTTTTTATATACTGCATAAGATCAGACTTCATTAAATAATCATTGATGTGTTAGAACCTGACTTGGAGGTAATTGTAAACACGCTACATGCAACACCCAACTTTTGAGATTGGATTTATGAATACCGTTAATTTAGTTATAACAAATAAACATTAAATTAAAGGCATATTTGATTAAGTAAACCAGGTGAGAATACAGAACAGCTGACGAAAGATTGGGTGAGATTAAATAAACTTGACGTCAGTATTTACACAAAAGTGGGGAAGAAAAGCTAAAGCAGCTGGTTGTAATTGAACCCCCTTTGACGCATTCCATTGTACATATAAAAAATTACTATATTAAGTTGTGTTTTTTTCAGATTACTAGTTATATCTCTCGGGTAGTTATTTACTTAGGTTTTACAATTGCTTAAGCTTTCAAATTATTCCGCTATGGCGTTCGTTAATGAAAACGTTCGGGACGAACTGTTTGTTATTTGGAGTGCTAAAACTTGGCACTTAGCAATACCTGAATCTCATGAAGATGGAGGCATTCATCTGTCAGAAAAATCGCTATTGTTAAAGATTATATTTCCTCCTTATAGGTTGATTTGAGTAAGTAATCATAAACTATTAACGTGTGTTAGGTTCTACTGGCATGTGACATTTATTATCTTTTATACAAATTGTGGAATGCTATTATAATCACGTTTGATTGTTTGCAGTAGAATATGTGATATCTTAACCAAGTATTGTTGAATAATTATCGTGTAGTGTATGTTCCTAACATGTAAGGTTTATTAGAGATAAGAATTTGAAAAGGACTCAGGTATTTTAATTGAAAATTATTTGCTTTTATTCATTTAACCTAAATGATATTTCTATATTCATTATTTTTCTAATACTGCTTGTTGATAGCAAGATCATTGATTTAATTCAAATCTTGGTATCCAAAGTTTTGAAACTAAATATCTTTAAGTACTATAGATATCTTTAAGTGTTCAAATCAGTTTAATGCCAAGTATAAACCTATTCTTTTGTTATCACTCATCAACTTTTCCCCTTGTTATTAAATGTTAAACAGCTGTTTATTTAACTTTGCCACTACAGTAGATTTTTGTTTGACTGTGATTATTTACTCACATTTCTTGATATCATTCACAGTCTCTCATTAACATCATTAAAATGAATCGAATAAATTTTCTGTTTTGGGTTGCAGATCGATCTTTCCTTGTTGACTTGACCATAACTTAAATATTGTCTATTTTTACTATTATTTCTTATATGAGATTATACATTTTTTTATTATTGCTATCTATTATTTGAGTATTTTATAATCTCTAATAGTTACTTTTGTAACTCACATCGAAACGTCTGACATCTGATGCTGCTAATATTATAAACTTCCAATAATTATTAGTTAAAAAGTAATAAATTCTCTAGTAGAACTTCAGAAGTTTCACTCCAACCTGGTAGCTGGTCCAAGATAATGTTGATCACACTTCGGATAGAATTATGATAGTGTCAGTTTACTGACTATGATGTCTATAGACTATGTAATCTCACTTTATACTATTTCCTAAGCAGCACTCTTACTTGGTATAAGGGTACCAGATCGTAGGTTCACACTATGGATGCATTTACAAAAATGGCCAAATATGTCTGTAATGAAACTTTTGAACTAACTTGACTGCTCTTGATATTCCATCTATAGTGTGATCAGCATAATTTTGTCAATCAATACAAGCTGCTAAATCTTCCACTTCCTGTGGATGAACTATTTTCTCAAAAACTAATGCCTGTATTTTTTTTTTTTTTTTTTTAGCACCATTCATATGTTAATGAAGCGGGCAAAAGTTAACCACATTATGCCGATGGAAAGAAGGTTTACTAGAAGCCTTCTGTCGGCTAAAATGGACTTCATTCCTCTGTTACCAGTGGAGATAAGTCAATTAATCTTTCGACGTTTGACTGTGAAAGAATTAGCCAGATGTTTAGGTGTATCTAAGCGATGGCGAGAGCTTGCAAATATTAATTATCTTTGGAAAAGACATTGCCTTATATATGGACTGGAAATTGATGAAGACAAAAAATTCCAAAGTAAGTTTTATCAAGCATCTTTTTGCTGTTTTATATGTATAATACCTCTATCATTTTTAAATAATTCAATATATAATAAATGTTTGAAACTATGGTGGTTAAGCGTGTTGAAACAACACTGCTCAAGTCCTTAACAGATAAGAACGCAACCTTTATAGGCTAACTAATAGTCTGTGATGGCCTATTAGTTTATTATAAATTTTTCATTCAGGCTGGTTTTGTTGGAGTCCTATAGAATTTTCCACCTATTCTTTTCTAGTTAGAACTCAATAGAGAGTTTTATAGAACAAACAAAGTGAACTTTATTGTTTGAATTATATAAATTCACTTCAAATTGTCTAAATTAACCGTTTTTGTATAGTGCACACTGATAAATTATCACAATTTTGACTATAAAACCAAAATTATATTTCATTATTCTTTTTGTTCTATTCAGCATTAACTCAATTGTTATTGTTAGTAATCATATTTATTTATTTCAGGAAATGCAAAATGTGACTTATGCAAATGGGCTCAAATTTGGTTCAATTTTCGGAGAAGTGCTGCCTTTGGCTGGAGGTCTAAAATCTGGAAAACACGTGAAATAGACAAAACTAATATGTACATGCGAAATGCTTCTGATGGTGAATCACTAGTATTTTGTACTGGTTCAGTGCTCACAGTGCGGAAAATTTCGCAACTTGGTAAAACCAAATATTCCTTAAGACTACCTTTGCCCCATGATGCTTCATCATGTTTAGCAGTAGATAACAGGTAATAATTCCCCCTAAATTTTACATTCTGGAAGAAATAAATAGTATTTGTTTATTTTGTTTGGTGAGTTTTAGAAATAACTTATTCCTTACTTGACATAACTCATTTTCCATGTTATATTGGCTGGTAGCCATTGAATTCGAGTTATGTTTTAAGATAATAGAAACTGCAACTGCCTACTCTACCATAGCTCAAGCTGTGAAATAAAGGTTAGTTATCCATCGGTGTGAAAATATTAATTAAACAGAAATAATCTTTGAGATACAGTTTTGGTATAAATTAAATCAACTCAAATTAACTCTTAAAGGACTGTATCGTCACATATATTACATATTTATTTATTTACTTAATTAGTTATTTCTAAACGAGTATTTTTTGATTTTTAAAAACTTTGATGATTTTTTTTTTTTCATTTAACAAAGCTTCACCCAGTAGATCAATAGTAGTTTGGTTAGAGATTCCAATGTAAATTATGAAGTATTTATATCATGGATGTAGATAACATTTACAAATCATTTGATGAAACACTTTACTATTCAACTGTAGTTTAGCCTGACTTGAATTAATTCATAAATATTATTTTTTAAATTAAAATAATTATTTCAATTGCAATTATGACTTCTGAAATAATTTTGACTTAATTATTCTTACGGTGTACCTATATTTTTTGTTTATTAGATGATTGATAATAATTGTAACTAGTTTTAAGTTTAAATTAAGGAATTTGATGTGTATTAAAAAACAATCTTTTTTTTTTTTTTTCTTTTGCTCTTATAATAAATTTAGATGTTAATTATAATATTTTATTTACCTGCTTTCTCAAAGAAAGGTTACTCAATCTCTTTCTTTATTCTATTTACTTTTTTTTATTTCCTATGCCTCTGTTTCTCTTTCTCTACCCTATCATTGTCTTATTTGATCTGTTTCTCGTACATTTACTGATACATACCCTAAAAACATTCAAGGAAATTCTCTCTTATATTCTTAATTATTCTATGCAGCATTTGATGAGCGGTGATGAATTCATGAATACATATACACTCATCAAAATAAAAAAAGTTCAAAAATTATCGGAGATTACTAACATTTTTGTCATAAGTTTAATCCTCTGTATAGGAAAGTAACTTTTGCTGAGACAAGAGAATTTCTTTGAAATAATTTTAGTCAAGATTTTTATTTTTATTCTCAATCAGTTTTCTTTCATCATTCTACACCTGAAAGTACCAACTATTACTTTTTTAGGAGTTTTTGAGAGGGGAAAGAGGCTGGCAAGAGAAAATTCAAGCCTAATTAGGTTGTTGAATTGAATGAGCATAAAACTACTATGTCAGTAAAACCCATATTTCATAAGAGACAAAAGCTTTTATATGAAGAAAATGAAATTTTTAGGTTAAATCTGCTTTAACATATGTTAACTGTCACTCATTAGGTCCTCGAATATCTTTGGGGGCTCAATACATGGAAGGATTGTGCAAAGTAATGTTCTAACAACAGAAAATTCAATTCCATATATATATATATGTTTAGCCTGTTACTTCAATTTCTTTCTTTTATAATATGAAAAAGGTTAATACCTTGTAAAATATTTATTTGGTTTATATTAATATCATTAAATTTAAAAATTCCTTTTAATGAATTGAGAGAGTCTATTCATTTTAGATATAAACACCCAAATGTTTTATTCTAATGGATTAAGAGCTCGTAGATGGTGCCCCCCACTATACCCTTTGTCTAGTCTACCTGCGGAAGCCACGAAAGCGGGAGCATCAGCAAGTTCGAAAGAGATTAACTACCCTTGTGTCTTCTTACCATCGCGCCTATCTTGATACCGTCAATCTCTTCCAGCATAGGCTGCCAGTTGATGCCAGCAAGCTCCACCATTTATATACACCAGGCCTGGTTAATTTATTTGAGCTCACTAATTTATAATGGAACCACACTATTACCTATAAGTCGTCTAAACCAATATTCACAACTCTCTAGAGAGCATCTTTTTGCAATTTTATAACTTAAGAATAAAATATATTTCATTTGTATTTTCTCTTATTTTTTTTCTAAGAGTTTAAAATGTCTCTGTTTTTTTTTTTTATTATTTTTGTTTATGAAGGAAGAATTTTTTCTTTTGTTGCCTTTGTTTATAATATTACAATTTATGTTTTCCGGAGTAATTTTTATTGTATTTTTTAATTTTTTGTGTAATCTCTCAATTCAGGATTTACATTAATATATTTTTTTCTCAGTTTGTAATTAATTATATCTGTCTTTTTTCCTTTTAAATTTTTTCTTCGTATTATTTTTATTAACAAACGATTGGCACCTTTTGAAAAGAGATTGAGTCTATGCTGGTTTTGTCACATCGCTCGCCCCATCAATATACATTATGATTTGTATAAAGTATTCTCCTTTCTACTCAAGATTAGTGGAGAATTGTAATATAATTCTTTATAATATTTAGAGTTAGAGTACAATGAGTACCTCCAGGACATTTTAACATATAAGACAATCGATATGAGCTGGCCAGAAAAGGCTCGGAGCACACTCCAATCACACCAGAACCATTGTGTGGCATGAGTTGAGCTATGCCAAAATTGAAATTAAGATAGCTTGTGATGATAAAGTCCTATAATGCTAGGCAAAGATAGAACAGAAAAACTCCAAACGGTTCTTAGAAGGACCATGAGACAAAATTTGTCTCAAATGGACAGCGTCATGTTGATATAAATAACAGAGCTATACTGGCAAGTGTAAACTCAAAAATCATAAGTATAAGCTCAAGCTGGTAGAGCACCTTTGTAGGGATTCTGCCTAGCTGAGAATGAAACAGCCTTACATATCACGTCACCGAACCTGTGATATCATATTATCTGTTGGTGATAACTTTAAAGTTTGTGATGCCTAGCATGGACTCCATCCTATGTGGACTTGTTAACCCGCTGAGCATTGTTAAATTCTTAGAATCTACTAAAATTTCTATTTAAATAGCTGTAATTATGGCCAACAATAATTGAACTAGGCCGTGGTGTAGTGGTGTAGTTCACTATATATATAGTGTATGTATATGTGCCATAGAATCAAATAATATCACACTTATTAGCAATTTTACGCAGCGAACTTGCTTAAACTGGTATGTCTAAATGATAAAAAGTCATATAAACAATTATAGATACTCGTATGCACAAGCTTTTTATTATAAAGATTATAGAAAGTGGTTTCATAAAGCGAAATTATTCTTTTGTAGTTGTTTTAAACAATACTTACACCTATAATTCTAAAATAAAGTACAACGTAAAATACGGAAACGTTGGCATATGTAAAAATAAATATTATAATTTATTTTTTGCCTGCCTTTTTTGACTGAGCACCCCAACTATTCTTCTCTTCATTATAATTCTAAAAATTTGATGATGAATGTATGCGTATGAAGTTTATCCATAAAAATGTTGTCTTTATACAAAAGCATTAAGGTTTAGATTTACATTTATATATAAACTATTAGTTCTTTTGTCCAGGTTTTTTGTTCATTTAATTCAGCATCAGATAATACCTACAAAATTGGACCCTAATTGCCTTGACTTGAGGTTCACCCTGCTCCTCTCCTCTCCCACCTTAAAAAACGTGGAGTTGTGTTCTTATCATTTAGAATGAAATAAACAGGCTGACTGTAAAGGAAAATAATAAATAAAAACTTTTCCTTAAATCTTACCAAAAAAATAATACTAAATTTACTGACTATTAATATTAATGGATATTATTTTATACAATACACACTTAGGTTATAAAATTATGAATTAGATTGTATATGGCTTTATTATTTTACTTTCAACATAAAAGTATTTTATTTCATTTTAGGTATGTAGCCGTTGCTAAATGTAATATTGTGCTGATTTATAAGATTGGTATTAATCGTTACAACTGCTGCATGGCTCTGGCAATGAATGGAGATGTAATTCTAAAAACTCGTAAATATGTTCGCAGGTAATAATAAATGTTTTATTCATTTTAAATATTCCTTTAATCTCAGTATATTTTTCCACGTATACATAACCTTATTATTTGATTTATTTATTTTATTTTAAGTTATGATTTTATTCTCAATAATGATATTGTTTGTTTGGCTTGATGTTAAAAAAAACAGGACATCATTAAAGGTTCTAGTCCAGTTTACTTTAGATCCTCGTTATATTACTGATCACGGGATATGAAACTACCCGCGTTATAAGAGTATCCAGATATTATCTGGGGCAGAAAAATATAATTGGTTGTAGAAATGAACAAAGATTTTCCTAACAAATGATTTATTAAAAAAATATATTGCACATCTGTAATCATTATAATTAGTAAAAAATTAATTTTTTTATCAGTTTGTACATAGCTAATTCATGTTATTGTTTTTAATGAAGTAACTTTTTACCCTTATGTTACTTTAATCCCATTATTATTTGGTAATGGAAGCAACTGACAGAAATTTGATTGGCTTTGTAGACGATTTATGTCCTTAGCCAATAAGGCATCAGTTGATGAAAGCACTTCGCCAGACATTGCTAACTTCTACATTCTGACTTTTTTCTTAGAAATGATTAATAATTATCAATTATTTCCAATTATAATTGGAAAATAATCAGATTGAAATTAAAATTAAAGAGCGGGTGGTGGATGTTTAGTTGGAGGAAAAGGAGGCAGGTCATTACCAGGCATGTTGTATGGTAGGTAGGCAACTGAGGTGGCTGACTCGGACACCATAACCCACGATTGAACCCACTGATTGGGTACAAATATTAAATTCAGCATAGTATTATTTTTAATAATTAAAATAACAAGAAGCCAACTTGAGATTTGAAATTTATTGATTAATAGTGGAAGTGGGATGGAATAAAACTAGCATAAACGGAGCCTTTTTTTCTAAGAATTTTCACATATATAAACTTTTAATGGAGTAGTAGTGAATCAAAAACAAACAATCTCTATTATTTCATTTTGGAGATCGTTTTGATTCTACATGACTCATATTTAATTATAAATTAGGAATGCCCAAACCGAGGCAAATGTACAACAATGTGGCATATTTGGAGCACTTGGTTGACTAGTAAATTTCTAAATTGTGTGCTATTAATTGTATTATTTTTAAAGAACCTCTTTTAAATGGTATATTAAGCTCGATATATTTGTTGTTGGTAACAAAATTACTTTCCAGTACATATTGTTTAAAAAATAGTTATTAACTGTCATGTAGGTATATTCTCAAACTTTACAAATGATCATTGTGAAAGTGGCATGATATAGGGGAGGGAGATAGAAGTTTTGACAAATCTCAATATTGAGAACCTTTGGTTAAGACGCGCATTACCAAAAGGCTGGGCACTCCTGTTCCAAAAAGGGGTGCCCCAACCACCTGATGGCCTTGTGTATCTATTCAAAACGTGAGGAACCTTTTTATCATTAGATACCGCAGTTAAGTTGGGTTATGATTATGGAGTCCACAATAATTCTTTAAATTTTATTGTTTGTATTTTTATTTATAATTAAATACATACATACATCTTCTTCTTCCACGGCACTACAACTCATGAAGAGTCTTGGCCTCCTCAAGACGTGTCCGCCAGGCGTCTATCCTGCGCAGCCGCTTTCCAGTTACGTACACCAAGTAGTGCACGTGCATCCCTTGCCACACAATCCTGCCATCGCAGCCGTGGTCTTCCTACTTTCCTGGAGCCTTGTTCATTGCTCCATATTTTTTTTGTTGGGACTTCATCATTTTGCATTCTCGCCACATGCTCTGCCCATCGCAGTCTTGCAAGCTTTATGATTCTTATGATATCCGTCTCCTTGAATAGATTGTAAAGCTCTATGTTGTGTCTAATCCTCCAATTCTGTTCATCGCGCACAGGACCATAGATTCTGCGGAGTACCTTCCGCTCAAATAACGCTAGGGCTCGCTTGTCTCCTTGCGTCATGGTCCAGGCTTCAGAGCCATACATCAGTACCGGATGAATGAGTGTTTTATAAAGCTGTGTCTTTGTGCTGCGAGAGATGAGTTTAGTTTTGAAATGCTTATTTAAGCAAAAATAGCACTTGTTTGCCGCTACTATTCTTCTCTTGATCTCTAGGTTTCCTTTGTTTTCTGTATTTACCAGAGATCCCAGATATGCAAACTAAGTAACTCTCTGGAACTTATAGTGTGCGATCTCCAGGTGTTGTTCTCGGGCGGTAGCACTACCTCCAATACATATATATTTGGTTTTTGCCTTTTTAACGACCAGTCCTAACCCTGAAGCTGCTGATTCTAGTAGGACAAACTCTTCTTTCCTAGCATTCATCGATCTGGCCATTATGTCTATGTCATCGGCATATGCAAGTACAGTCTTATTGAATAGCGTACCAGTAGTCTGGATGCCAGGATCCCTCACAGCTTTTTCGAGTGCCAGGTTAAATGGGAGGCATGCAAGAGCATCTCCTTTAGTTGTCATGAACCTCTGTGATAGGTCTCCCTGTACTCGGACGACACACTCTACGCCCATCATGGTCATCCTGACGAGGCGGACCAGTTTTGTTGGTATGTTCATTCCAATCATTGCCCTGTATAACTGCTCTCTATCAATGCTATCATAAGCAGCTCTAAAATCTATAAAGAGATGATGAGTTTTAACATTAATTCTTATTAATTATCAATAATTCTTTAAATTTTATTGTTTGTATTTTTATTTATAATTAAATATATACGTACATATTCAACTCAATTTCTATTAATTTTCAATTTTTCGAAACCTAAATAAATAAATAGTTCCAGCACCAGATTAATGAAGACCAGGTAAAAAGATTGGCAGCTGCAGAAAGCTAACAGAGATTCCTCACCTTTGATCTATATTATATATTTAAATTGACCAATATAACTTATAATAGTAAACAATATATGAATAGCACTTGTTCGAAACAAGCAAACTTATGTTTTCCAAAAGTTGATATTGTTTTATTTTAATATGCAATAAGAAACTAACTGAAACTTTTGTGAAACAGTGTTGTATTAGAATTAATATGATACAAGTAGTTATTGCCAGCTTACTACCAATTAACTATAATAAATTGAATTGCTAGTACTCTTCAACTTTCTATTGAATTATCAGATTTGAAATTCTTAGTAGAACTGCTTTTTACTCAACTCGGGTAAAATGTAGAAAATTATAAGAAAATAGTATTTATACTAATACAAGTTGTAATCGTTACTCTTTAGAAAATAATATTACTTAATATAAATGTATTCTGTATACCTTAATTTATATTCGGAATTCATTAACTATGGAACCAGTTATTTTTTTGTTCCTGTTGTAAAATTGGCAGAATTGAGTAAGGTAGAATTTGAGGTTATATGACAATATTAACAAGCACTGAAAATGCATTTTAATTTAATTTTATTTTGTTTGTTGTTTTATAATTTTTGTTAATAAAATTGTTTATGGTTGCATTTCAGTGGTCCATTGCATTTAAAATTTCATTAATAACAAAAACTTTTATCTCACTGGCTATTATTTTGTAACGGAAGTGCAATGACGAGTTGATTCGTCATCAGTCAACGACGTGTGGGCATGAAAAAACGATTTAACTCGTCATTGATTCTAGTGATCTTATTTTATTGCTGCATTGTTTCTTTGATTATAAAATTTTAAAGTTTGCTATTAAAGATCTTATATTTTGTTTTGCAGGTTTGTGAAGGCTAACATCAAAGAAACTAGCTCATGTGTTTGTATCATTGCCTTGTCCAATGGCTGCATCTGGCTACGAGAGCATGGAAGATACAAAACCTTTGTAATTAATTTAATTAATGAAAAGGTCACACAAGTAGAAACTCATTTCTATCGCTTTGTAACAAGGACGTATATTGTCAGCTGGTCGAGACGTAAATTAAGAGTGGATAACTTTAAAGGACGTAATATTTTAAAACTTTGCAGAGATGTTAATAAAGCAAGAGCAAACCATCACGTTTTGGTAACATTTGGTTTTACCAGTGGGAGAGAAGATATTGAGCAAGTGATGGAAACTTGGGAGCTATCTACTGGGAAAAGGCTTTTATGCATGCCTAGGCCTAAAAATGCCTTTTTTGAAATACACCCATCTCGGGATATTTTATATCAGATAGAAGCTGAGAAAGATTATATAACATCTCTTTGCCCTGTTACAGGTACTAGAATATTCTTATTATAGCTTTTATAGTTATTAATATTTCAGATGGTATGACGAGAAGGTGTAGATAAGTTTATGGATTAATTTTAACCGTATCTGGGTTTGTCTAGTGAATATGTTTCTAATTCCCACTATTACAACAACAATTGTATTAGTTAGTAACATACTTTTTGGTTCATCATGATTTTGCAGTATAGTATTTATGTTATTTTTATGGACTTATGGCTGGCTATCTCAGCAAGAAAATTCAACATTTGGGGGCATCATGGATCACAAATTGAAGTGGTACAGCCATGTGGAACAAAACAACAAACAAAGCTCTCAAGTCCTTATAACCTGAAAAAAATATGGGAACTTATAATCATGGGAAAGACCAAATATAGCCTATTGGTTTTGTATTATAGTCATTAGACAACTGATGAAATGGTGGCATCCAGTGCTTGCCATGGGTTCTATTATTTAAATCTGGAAATTTCTAGAAATAAAGAATTTAAGAATAGAAATAGGGTTGATTCACCCCTTCTGTTGTAGCTGTGTTTGAATTGGATCTTGATTAAATAACTTGAAAAATTTATTACAACACACATTACATATTCACATACTATTCAATGTCATCTATATATTTTACATTACATATGGTCACTACACTTCTCCCACACTTATTTAAAATGTTCAGGAACAACTTTTATTAGTAACTTTATTGAATAACATAGTCATTCAAATATTGATGAGGCCCGGAAGAACGATGCAGATGTTCATTAGTGTTGAAGCCTCGTGGTAGAAGAGTTTCTGATGGAAATAGATTCTCTGCTGAAGAAGGAGCCGACAATTGAACTGGAAGCGATTCTGGGATTTTCACAATGACACTAAGACTTGAATGATGATGACCATCTGCAATATGTGGCTTAACTTCATCCCTAAATGTCACTCTCTTTTTCTGTATTTGCGACTCGGTTAATTGATCGATGTGACGTTTGAATATAAAGCCATTGTCCATCTTGACTACATAACATGGTTGACCCATTTTCCTCAAAACCGTCTCAGGCTTCCAGACAGACTTTCCGCTCCCATAATAGGAAACCAATATACGATCTCCCACACTTAGTTGTCGTGGTAATCTAGATGGCTTTGATTATTTTAGAATCATAATGGGCTTCAGGACACCCATTGGGTATAGATTTGCCTGTTGAGGAATAGTTCAGCTGGTGATTTCACACTGGCTAGTGGAGTAGCCAGTTGGAACACAATGGTCTAGTTCCAGTTGGTTGAAATTTAAAAGATTTTTCATGACAATATTTGACCAAGAGTGAGATCTACGGGGACTACTTTGTTTTGATTTTCTACTGTTTGAATGGCTTCCTTGTTTAGTATCAGTCTAGTTGATTACAACTGTGGTTGACGGCTTTTGAGCTAGAACTTTAGGGTGTATTTTGGAGGACTCTAGGGCAATAGCCTTAGCGACAATGTCATTTATATCTGCTGTAATGGATTGCATAAGTTGTTCCCGGATGCTGTTATCCTTTAACCTTCAAATAAACTAACTGTGCCCTAAGAAAAATATCTGCAATGGAAGTCATGCACTCACAAGATGATATAAATTTGCAATTCGCCAAATTCGCCTTATAACTTGCCTCAAAGAGATACCATGGAATCTGAGACAGACTGTAGATCTCCCTGATAAATTGATGTTGAGCAACTGGAACATTTTTCTTGAGTGCTAGGTGATTACCTAACATTTTTATAAGGTTGTCATAGGATAACTCTGTTGCTTTCTTAAGAGCTGCAAGAGTTGACACTTGGTTAAAATTACTTTATCCGATGCTATATTGATTTAAAGGTAATATAGCATGTTATTGTTTATTATGATGTAGAGATAGTTGACCGTGATATAATATGAGAAGGAGTTGATCGGGGGTGCGGTCAAATAAATACTAAATTATAGAAATAGTATTATTTAATTTTTATGCCGACGTTTCGACCCACTTTGCAGATCTTCATCAGGGCGTACGATGTAGCATTGCGGGAGGCAGTTGAAACACTGGCAGTGTAAAAACAGCTCTAGTAAACATACACATGTATGTTTAATCAAGTGCCATTTCCGGTCAGCCGATTTTGACAAAAAAGTTGCTGTAACATCTTAGGTATATAAAAACTTTAAATATGCAATTTCACTTTTGTACAACTTTTTACTTTCACTTACGTATATATATGTAATATATAGTAAGTATTGCGGTCGTGAAAATTTTTTAATCTGAGTTTTCAACGGAAATACATGTTTTGGTGTATCCTGAGTCCAAATAACCAAGTCTTGAAAAATGGCCCTTGTGTCTGTATGTTAGCAGTCTAGCTAAAAAACAAAAATTCGTATGAAACTTAATTACTTATTTAAGATAGGTAGGTATATGCCTTAGATGTGATCAACCTTTTCCTTAAAATCGACTAACCGGAAGTGCCACTCAGGGGTGAAACACATTTTTACAATTTTCTCAAAAACGGCTCTAATGATTTTGATTAAACTCAGTGTATCATTGTATAATTAAGTGGTATTTAATATCATTTAGGTCTTATCCCCGTCGATGTCACTTTACAGGGCTTAAATGCCCAATGTTCATATGCGTCTTCCTCTAAAGTACCTTTAATATGATTTATTTTAAATAATTAACTATCTCTCATTATTAAGAGTATTAAAAAAATGCTAAATATAACTTTTGAAAGAATTTGATAATTGAATAAAGGAGAAAAAAATAAAATGCTTATCCAGGTCAAAAATGAATCTCTGGAAATACTATTCAGAAGGTATACGTATAATATATTGTTGGAAAGCAGAGAATTTTAGAAAAAATAATATTTAATATAGAAAGTTGTAGAATGTATTGGAGAGTGGCGAACAAAATATTAATAATAATTTCCAAAAACTAACACTATGTTACATAAATTGAGTGTTTTTAAGGGAATTAAATCAAATTTTCTTACAAAAAGTAAACTTTAAAATTTTTTTTTAAGTTTGAAAAAGTATTTAAAGTCCGCAGATTCAAGGCAATGACATTGTTTAAGATCAACTAAACAAGGGATCGTACAATCCATAATCAACCTGTGATATAATAAATAGGACTTTTGTGATTTAAATGGTATTTATGATTTGTTAGCTATAAGCTTTTAGCTTTAGCTTGGTTAAAAATGCATTTCAAAAATTTATAATAGCCCATCATGGCCAGAAAATAATTTCTATTTATAGTTGAGCGGTAAATCAAAGTTGTGTGTTGCGCGCACCAGATTTTTTATAATTTGAGGGTATTTACTTATTAATTTTATTAATGACTTTTTATTACCATTTTTCATTTGATCACTTCTGATCAACTGGGATATTTCATCATCTGATAGATCTTTAGATTCTTTAGATAGATCTTTTCTATTTCCATTGACTCTAGGTGCAATGGGTTCCCTATGCAGTGGTTCAACCTCCTTATGATGAATTTCATAATTTTCATCTTTAAACTCTAGTTTTAATATACCCTCATTATACTTAATTATTTTATGATGACAACTAATATCAAATTCCAACTTATATTTAGTATTAAATCCTAATAACATATACTTTTTACTGAAAGTAAACACGAAAAACTTAACTTTTTCCTTAATACCTAAATAAGGTTCTAAATCTAAATATATTGCTGAATATACATTTTCTTTTCCTGTTGAAGTATGAATTATAAAATTTTCTTTGATTATTTCCGCATCTTTTAGGATGTATGAAATTTTTAGCCGCGGATGTATCTGTTAACCATAATAATTTTTTCTTACATCTATATGGTTTATGGTATATTCGGGGCAGGTGTTTGATTGCTTGATTCTAAAAAATGATCTAGTTCTCTAATATGAAATCCATTTTCAGTTCTTTATTATTATTATTAGTTGCTACATTATTTGTTGATGTAGTTTCAGTATGATGCACAGGATAGGAATTGCTTGTAAATTGAGAATTTCTTGAATCATTTGATCTATATGAATTTCGTGAATTATTAGATCGGTATGTATTTCGTGAGTTGTTAGATCTTACAGTTCACATGGATACTTTATTTTGGGAATTTGGGTTAAAAGGTACAGAAGGGAAAGGTGTTTGCTGAGGAGTTAAATTTAATAAATGCTGGTCTGTCTGTGCAGCGGTCTGATTGGTTTGTCCTTGCAAATGTTGCTGTTGCCAGTTATGATAACTGTTATGTGAGGGTGCTCTGTAAGCTGTATAGGAAGGGCTATAAGAGTTGCATAATGTCTTTTTAAAGGTTTTTGATTCCAATTCTGACTTGCGATCTATTACAATTATTACAAGAATTTTCATTATGTGTTTGACCATTTAGTCTTTGTATTATTAAAGAACAATTGTTAAATAATGCTATTCCGAGTTAATCTAAATCTGGTAAGGGCAAATGTTGTAGAAATTCACCAAGTTCCGGACGCAAATGAGAAAGAACATGATATATAATTTCTCCTTCACTATATTTTTTTATTAGATTAAAAAGAGAATCTATATTATCTAATTTCTATCTTAATTAAATAAGAGATATTATAGCATCGATGGGGTTAACAAAATCTACGGTATCTTCCTTATTATGTGGTTTAGTGTTGAATAATTTAGCTTTTAATTGTTCTACTGTTCCAGAATCTTTAAAAGTATCTTCAAGATATTTCAATAATTGTGGTATGGTAGTAAAATTATTAGATAATAATTTAGTTTTAACATTACCATCTAACCTAGACGGAATTTTACACAATGATCTACTATGATTGAATGTGGCTTTCTGTATTTAATGAATCACAGATAGCATTAAAAACATTCTTAACTGAATTAACAAAATGAACTAATTGACTAGTTGACCATCAAAATTAGGAATAGGAATATGGTCATTGTTCTCTTTGCACATGCGATAACTATATGTAGCCAATTTTTCAGTATTATTATTTATATTCCTGTTTCTATTTATCAGTATTCTAGTTTTAATCATAAAAAGTCGCTAATTTTGAGTATGAAGTCTTTTGTAAGCAGCAACCAGTCTGAAAACAAAAAGTTCTGCTCTGATGAAGGATCAAAATCCAATTAGGATGACGAGCCAGTTGATGTTCTTCTTGTTCCCCTGTTTCATATTTCTTCGGAGAATATGGTGAAGCCGATCTGGTGCAAGCCTACTTCAGAGTCCCTGTTATTGAGTGCCCGTTAAAGATCCCGGCTGGACTTTTGATTTTTTGAAAAGGTTTATTTGAGAAATTACAATTATTAAACAATACTGACTATAAACTATATAATGACTAATAATAGCAAGGGAGATGACCTATGTAACGGTTCAGAGTGCAGAGGGGTTTTATATAAAATGCTGATGCTGAAGAAAGCAGAATCGTATGAGATGATGTCTGGGTGGCGTGATTTAGGACTATAACTATCCATGAAATATTTTTACATTCCAGTTCTTACAAAAGTATAATGAAATAGTTTAATAGCTATTTTATATATATTTTTTTGCAAGCCTAAAAATAGTATTTGTAATTTTACGTATAATTAGGAAATTTCATTTAATTCTCATGGAAACATTTGATTTCTGTTAAATAGTCTTAATTTTCAGAAATTATTATTAATAAATTTTCCATTAGTCTATTTTATCTTCTACAACTTTGAATATTAGATATTGTTTTTTCTAAAATTTTCAGCTCTCCAATGTTATATTTTAAGTGTATTCTGCTTGTTGTTTCCGGAAATTACTTTTCAACCTAAAAAAAAATTTCCTTTTTTCTGCTTTATTCAATTATCAAATTTTTTCATAGTGTATATTGAGCCTTTTCTCGTTACTGATAACTATAAGAGGCAGTTACGGTTACTATATTTTACACATAGAGGTAAGTGAAAGTAAAAGTTGAGAAAACATTAAGGGAACAAGCTATCTACAAAACCAATAAATTTATGTAAAAAATACTTAATACTATGAATAAAATACTTAAAATTATATGCAATGGTTAAACAGTATACATATACTGTATACGTATACATACATATGCATATACATATAATACATATACATATACTTCAAGAAAATAAGAAAGAAAAAATAACATAATAAATTAAATTCTTCTTCTAAATAAACTCTAAGTTTCTACTAAGAAAAAAGAAAGCTGAATTTGTCAATGTAAAATGCTTAATAATGTAAATGCTGCATAATATGTAAATACATCATAAATATAGTTATTAAAGAGTTTAATTTTATATTAGAAAAATAAATGCATTGAGTGGCATCAAGAGTAGGAAATTCATGTAATATCTCTAGCAAAGAACAGCAAATTCATTTGGTGGTAAATACATAAAATAAAATATATGTGTAATGTCGATTGGTTAGCAGGTATCTGAATGATTTTATAAGAAGAATTGGAATTGAAATAGGTATATAACCAACTTTTATTATTTTATTTTTCAGGTCGAGTGTTTTGGTATGTTAGAGTACCTAATATTAAAGATATTCTTGACTGGTGTCTAAGGGTTGTCTGTGGAAGATATTTAGTCCTTTTTCAATATAAGTCTTCAGCTGGAGGGCATACACTTCTATATGTTTTTGATGCAATATGTGGACGGTACCTGTATAAAGCTGAGCGACCACCAGGACACTTAGAGCATCTGTCTGATAATCTTATTGTTGTGAAATCATCTAATAAAATATATCTTAGAACTTTCTCATAACATTGAGGAATTTATAGTCTGGGAATATTCTCCTAAAGAAAAAAGTATTGCTGTGATAGTAGAAGTTCCTTTTATGAAGGTCATTCATGTTCATTTATAATATTCAATTATAGTTTTTTTGTTTTTTTTGATAATAAGTATCATATAATTTATTTTTTAAAATCTACTTTGAGGTTGAATCTGAAATTAATTGTATGTAAAGATTGCATATTGAGTCTCCAGTAAAAATTTAGGTTCCTTTAATGTAATTTATTAAATAACGTGTTTGATGTTTCTACGTAAGTTGTGTTAAAAGTTTTCACTCGTATAGTTTATACAACACTGTTTACATAAAATGTTTAAAAACCGTCTTGTGTTAAGATCCTCAATGATTTTGACTGTGGGGAAATATTTAGAACTTAGTTTATCAGATACAATCCATGTGAAAATATAAATAATTATCGGCCTCATGTCCGTTAGATACATAAAATATGAGATGAGTTGGACCCTTCGCATTGTTTAGTGTCTGAATATTTGCATCCATTTTTATCTAGTGGAAACAAAGCTGTTCAAGATCTTCCCTTAAAGAAAGGTGAGGCAATTTCTTTTTTTTTTCCTCATATTGGCTAAAAAAGTGTGAGTTTCTTTCTCCACAAGTCTGAAATATAAATCAATATCCAAGAGTTTTGTTCTTAATCCCATATTTGCTTTCTAATATTTCTATAAATTTTTCCAGATGTTGAACTGTTTTTATTTCATATTTTCTCTATAGCCTCTGTAATAAGAATAGAAGAAAAGATGTCCCATAGTTGCAAAATATCACAGTGTCTTTGGCTGTTATAATCTTTCTTATATCAGGTTCCAGAAATAATACTGATCATCTGTCTGTATATTAAACATAATATAGACATATTATTTTAAGTCTATACTTTTTTAACAACCATTTTGATATCAGAATTAAGATTAATCTGTGTCTGCTGTCTATGTCCCCAAATTGTATTCAGCCCATGCATAGACATTTAAAAAGGCTAATAACCAACCGTATACAATATTTGATTTCCAGATATTGGAGTTTAGTCAGTGCATGAAGGTAAGACGAAGATTTGAGATAATCATTGTGGATTTTTAATTCTCTATACTCCCCATTTCTTAGTCAAAATTTATTGGAATTCTTGACATGTATCATTTGAAATATTTGATTTAAAATAACTTGTGTTTTAAAATCAGCCAATTGTATTTTTGATCTCAGAGCAACAAAAATCAACATTTTAATTAATGATTTCTTATTGCTTTGGTTTTTCATGTTTCTATTTAACCTTTCGTGCAATAAATATAAAATACTCAAAATATATTGCAATTAGCTAGTCATATATAGGATAAAAAAATATTAATACCAATCTGTGATTGTTCTCAAAAAAATATTTTTTATGTTCTCATTATTTATTCAGATCATATAATTTTCTAAATTTAACTCCTGTATAGACCTTTAATGAATATGAAAAAAAAAGACTTAGCTACAATCAGAAATATATGAATTTTGTATTTTTTAAAATTTATTTATTTTGTTTTTCATCATATGTTTTTATCTCAAAAATTATTTCTGAATAAAATAGTCTTACAGAAATATATCCAATTATGATATAACTTGAAAAATGTTGCAAACTCATTTTTTTGTTCTATTTCTTTAAATTGTTATGAGATATATTTTATAATTATTTCTCATTAACAATGAATCATATGAAATTAAGAGGATTACTATTCATTTATTTAGTTTTATTTCTGTTAAATATCGAGTCATTTTATCTAGGTAGTATTTCCTGACCAAAAGTTACAACTAAAGGTAGACTGTTAATTTATATATAATTATATAAAATGAAGTGATATTAAAAATATCAAAATTGTGAATGTTTGTATATAAGTGTTATTTTCTCTTCTTTTTAAATTTATTTTTGTTCCTATTTTTTATTATATTTCTATCTTCAATTATTCAAACAAATGAATTGTGATTTTTCTTTTTTTTTCTTTCGGGTGCTTTTTGTAAATTTATGTATATATTCACCTGAAAGATATGTATAAATGTTTGTAAATAAACAGTTAATGATCTTTGTAAATATATATGTATATATATATTTAAATACCTATGTGTCAAGAAATTTTGATATTAAATAAAAGTTTATGTTATTGTTTATAATTTATTTAGTTTACAATAATTGATTTTGTGTTAAGAATTTCTTATTCTTTGTTCTTAATATACCAGAAATTCGCCATTTTTTTAAATTGTCATTGATTTTTTGAGGTATTATTTTCCCTCTTGATAACGTTTTAATTCTGTTTATAATGAGAAAAAAAACAGACTGAAGAAATCGGAAAATCCTATCTGCCCTAATCAGTACTGGCCCATAAAAGGATAGAGCAACTTAAAATTATGGGGCCCTTTTGTTATAATAATAATAATGATTTAATAATATGACACATTATACATACCACTTATTGGCGTTCGTATTTCCACTTATTGACATTTTACCACTGAGTTGGCATCCCTTAGGATTTGGCACCTGGTGCGGCCACTCCATTTGCATCCTATGGTAAAAAAAAGCAGACACTGACCTTCCTAGTCAGAAATCCCCTACAAAAATCGACATCTGAAAAAATGGCTGCTAATGTAAAGAAAGAATGTGCAGTAACTTGAGGATTTAAATGGGAAATTTATTACTAGAAATGTAGGAAAAGTTTTTATGTTTTACTTGTAAATTTGAGTTCAAACATGTAAACAAAATTGCAAACGCGGCCAACCAAGGGAAAATTGTTTACAGCTAAAAAGGCCAGATCTTTTTCACTTACAACTCTTAACTCTTTTTAGGTTTTACCCTTGTCTCCATTTTCTTTTTCTTTTTTAAGCGAGACTTCTTTATTGAGATATATTACAATCTGTCACATCTAAGGACAATAGTAATAGTGATATAAGAGTAGCTCATTCACACTACGTATAATAAATAAAAATTAATAGCAATAATTGTACTAAAAGTAAATGTATTTAAACTAAAATCAAAATAACTACTTAAATACACACATGCGTTTTTACAATATTTATAAAATTCATTCACTTAAGATCTGCGAGCCAAGCCTTTTCTCCCCACCTGTGGAAGAAAAGGCAGGACTCTAGGAGATCACAGCGCCTCTCACTCAGCCGCATTTCGTGTATTCGTGTTATGAACTAGTGGAGGCAGAGCAGAGGCGCTGTAACCAGACATACATTGCTTAAGTGGAGAATCTAACCATTGCCAGAACTCAAATGTATGCTTGCAACAGGTCTCTGAGCTACTGGCACTTCAACCTTCGCGGAGGGTTTTGTTGGTTACATAGCATGGAACATCAACTATTGTTTGAAGGACTTTAGACCGAAAGGATTGAATGTGTTTGATGTTAGAAAATTTTGCTGTCCTCCACAGTTCAAGTCCATAGATCCAAATTGGTTTCCATATTGTCTTGTAAATTGGTAATTTGTTATCAATTGAAAGTTGAAATTTTCTGTTCAGTAGTCTATATAGCTGGCCATAACGTCGGTTGACTTCTTGTCTTTTATGTCTATTATGTGGGTTTCGTATTAGCCTTCGGTCTAAGAGAAAGCCAAGATACTGATAGAAGCTGCACTGTGTCTGAGTAAGGTAGCTGGATGGAATTAAAGTGTAGAGGTGGACAGGAATATATTCTTTTTAAAATTGATGGAAGTGCCAGAGTAACGAACGGCCAGAAATATCCAAGCTGTGATGTACTACAAATATAATACGTAAAGTATATAATAATTTCAATTGGTAATTTTATTTATTTGTTTGTTTTAATTTTCTTCTAAATACTATCAATACCGTCTTATATAGCAGAGAATTATGCACTCTGAAAAATGCAGAGGAATGAAGATAAATTAAATTTTCATAAATAGAAGAAAAAAAAATAAAACTAACAACTTTTAGACAATATCTAGTTGGTGAAAAACAAATTTTTATTCGTGATTGAAATTAGTCTATTTCAATGTATTATTAATGATACTTAACCGAAATTTATTAATCAGTTTTATAGGATAAAAATTTTTCTTAACCATTTTCATGAGTTTGTAACTGTATTTATATAATGCCAAGAAAAAATAAAATATATACATACAAAAATGACATCAGAAGTGCCAGAACCCGAAAGAGACATTTAGGAGAATGTGCAGAAGAATTGGGAGATTAAGATCAGAGGAGAGGGAAAATTAGAATAGGATATTTTTTTTATATTTATTTAATTATCTAAAAATTATCATATACTAATACTTATCAATTCTTATAAATTTAAACAGAAGTTTTTCGTAGTAAAAATTGTATTATTATTTTTCTGAGGATGTTTGCCTACCTTTATGATTGACATTAATATCTTTTAATAAATATATAGTGATTTTCATTTATCGTCTGAAATAACTCCAATCTATAGAGAAAAAGAAAGAAAAAAGGAAAAGGGAGGAGGAAAGTCTTGGAAAAATCTCGACCCAGGCGCCCTCAGCCAGGTCCATGTCACTGGCCCGGCACCTATGGAATTTCGAGTTGAAACCTATGCCAATATTTAGTACCTAATTTGTACCTCAAAAATTAGAATTAGTACCCCTCAGGAACCGGAGATATAACGCTCGTAAAAGTGCCGGGGCAGAGACATGATGGCCCGGCACCTATGGAATTTCGAGTTGAAACCTATGCCAATATTTAGTACCTAATTTGTACCTCAAAAATTAGAATTAGTACCCCTCAGGAACCGGAGATATAACGCTCGTAAAAGTGCCGGGGCAGAGACATGATGGCCTGGCACCTATGGAATTTCGAGTTGAAACCTATGCCAATATTTAGTACCTAATTTGTACCTCAAAAATTAGAATTAGTACCCCTCAAGGACCGGAGATATAAAGCTCGTAAAAGTGCCGGGCCAGGGACATGGTCAAATGACATATCGATTTTAGAGTTGAAACTTATGCCAATATTTAGTGCCTAATTTGTACACCAAAGATTAGAATTAGTACCCCTCAGGAACCGCCCTCAGCCCAGGTTTCAGCTCTTCCATACTGTTCATGGGCGGACCTAACCCCCAAAAATTTGCGGAAATATATGAACCCAAAAATATTTTTTTCTGGGACCAAACATACAACGGTACTAGATAAATACGAACAATGATCACCAGGATCCTCAGAGGGGCTCCTCAATCATTTTACGGTGATTAAATATTACAAAACATTTATGTCCAAGGGAGCATGAGCGGATTTACGGGGGGGAGGGGCTTTGGGGATGAAGCCTCCCCCAAAATGGTAAAATATAACCATGTTTTATGGAAAAAAATATTTAAAAATTATCTCTTAAAGTATTATTATTTGTGTAATTACATTTAAAGTGACTTAGGAATCACCATTTCATTTAGGTAGTTAGTTTCCTTTTTTCCAAAGTAATTATCGTTATTTTTGTGAAAAAAAAGCTTTCAGGCTGATGCTCCCCCCAAAATTAAATCCTGGATCCGCTAGTGATACTGTTGAAATATTTAAACACAGATACTTTCATTACCAATTTCCAGCCATCGGGAGACTAGCGATCTCGAGAGAAGTAAATGTTCTTCATAAAAACTGTTGGTATTCAGTGGACACGGACTTTGATGCTCTACAACTTTTTTATCTATGAGTTTTTTTTTATGAGAGAACTCATTTTTACGCTCCAGGGCCATCTATAGTAATTTGCCTCAGTTTTTGACAATGTAAAAGTCATTGTTCGTTGACCGTGGTTAGCGGCCATACCACTTGACCAAACTATTAATGTTAGATATTCCTTCGACGCACAAATTAACGTTCTTTAATTTCTTCTAGAGTACGTTTTTCGCTTGGAAGCACTGCTTAGGATTTATAGGTGGAAAAGAAAAGATTAAAAAAAACTGTTCTTTTTGGATGTAAAAAGATTTTCATTGACGGCACATGTTAACAATTTTGTTTTTTAAATATTTGAACCCATATAAAAAAATCTGGTAGGCGCACAACACAACTTTCACTTACCCCTCAACTTTGAATAGAAATTATTTTCTGGCCATGTTGGGCTATTACAAAATTTTTGAATTGCATTTTTAACTGAGCTAAAGCTAGAAGATTGCATCTAACAAATCATAAATAGTATTAAAGTAACAAAAGTCTTATTTATTATATCACCGGTTGATTATGGATTGTACGTTTCGTTGATTATGGATTGTAAGATACGTTAAATATGGATTGTACGACTATTAAATTGTCATTTTTCATTGCAAAGTTTACTAAAAAGGAATCAAGAGATTTGCATTGTCTGTCATGGAAAGGTCAAAAGTTGTCACACTGATTGCAAGTGGATTCTGTAGAAATATCGCAAAGAGAAAATTTATCAAATTATTCACTAATCCCAAATTATTCACTATCAAATTATGCCCAGTGTTTCAACTGCCTCCCGCAGTGCTACATCCTACGCCCTGAAG